CGCTCATAAATTTTCAGTTATTAACAGCAAAATGAATGTTATAGGGAAATCGATATCTTCATTGCTTTAGAGACACTAATTCATTTAAAAACGTATAATACAGGGTATTAATATGACCTATATGAAAATAACATTATTAATTTTATTCTTTAAAAGCGTATCTGAAATTATCTGAAATAAAAATCTTGTTACGGTGGGTAATAAGTCATGTGTTTAATCATGTTTAAAAAAATTACACGAGCCACTTAGCATATATAGAAGCGTATATGCACGCGTGTACATCGCGCTTACACGAATGCACGTGTAACATTAATTTATGCTCGCTGAATTCGCGAGTGTAATCATTTCGTTTAATACCACTTGAAACGTTCGGTTTGGTGCTCTTTTCATTGAAGTTTTTAAAAATTCTCAAATAAAGGTAATTCTTAAATAAAAAAAAAGCTCCACATAAAATAAAACAATAGGGTGGAAATAATAAATACTAGACCACGTTTAATTATCAAATTTTTTTATATATATTCTAACAACTAATTTGATAAATTCTTGTTTGTAAGCATTAAATTAACTATTATATAAATTGCTATTAATTTATGCTTAATAATATATAAAACATCGACAAAGGCGAAAATACGAATAAATACCATTGGCACTTTTACATTCATGTTAAAATTCAATAATAAATTTTTAATACTTAGTGGATAATTTCAGATTATAATATGCAAGAATTTATTATAATAAATATGATCTTTGATTCATCGAATTTATTTAAATAATTTAAACAGTCATTAATTTAGTCTTTTAACTACTTTATTCATTATAAAGTAAAATATTCTCAGAGTATTTGGAAACTGTAGTTGGTCGTTTGTTAAATATATTGTAGTTAAACTATTCATTAATTTTAGCCAAATACGTAAATTAAATAAAAGAATAAATAAATTCAAAAAGTTTTCGTTGAATAGGTGTTTATTTAAAAGTTCACAAAAGTAATGGAAATTAAATTTTCATTCAACATTTAAGTAAATGATAAATGATAAATAAATTGAAAATAATCCCTTGAATATAATGTGTTTAATGGCGTAATAAATTTATGAGAATTTATAAAATTTTTGAGATAAAAATTTTATAATTTTATGCATCACACTCTTTTCTTCATTTCCAGATCCAATTGATTTTCAATCAATTTTCTAGTTAATTATAAAATATTTGAACTTATAGACCATAAGGCAAATATATTATTGTACAATTAACAACAGATCAGAAGCTTTATCTTATCAAAATGTAAATAAAAAGAGAAATCTGGCGTTTGAATCTTGACATTAATTAACGCAAGGTTTAAGTAAATATGAATATCACGTTTTCGCGCCATCAATGAGAAATTTTGTAATAAAAAAAAATGATGACAAGAGATTTTATTCTTTATGACATAAGTAATATTTGCTTGAATAATGCAAGGTAATAAAATGTAATCGTAAACAAGTAACAATGTTTTTATCGATTATAAACAGATAATCTAAGAGGCTAAGTTTTAATGCAAAAATATTTACAAGAAATTATAAGAAAAACGTCGACATACATTATCAGAAATGCCTGCTTATTTTGGTTCTGTTCATCGATTTGAAAAGTAGAAACAATATAAATCGAATATATTTGAAGTTCGTGGTGCTTGTAAGCCACGTTACAATAAAAATATCTAATTGAGCTAAAATATAGTTGACTTATGAATTATGGTGTTTGAAGAATGAATTACGCCAGCTATTTCCTCCACCTGTCTCGATTTATCAAGACCATAATTTAAGTAGAATATGCGGTTCAATTACTCTCATTGTTTGAATTATTGATGTTAAACTTTTACTCCAACATTCATTAGCTAATTGTAAAAAGTATCTACAAAAGTAATGACCTTAATCATGACGTCAGTGTTTGAATTGATGTTTAATAAGAACTTAAAAAAAAAAAAATAAGGTGGCAATGTAATCTTAGAATGGTATTTGAATATCTGGCATAGACATATAACTGCTAAATCAATGTAAATCAAAAGCTTTGGGTATAAATTAAGAAAATCATTTGAAATTGATTTATTACTACATAACTCTTTAGCTGTATAATCAAATATCAAATACAAATGTCAGAATTTACTTCATCGATGAGAGAAAATTTAAGAGACTACAAGAAATTGACAATTTCAGTACAATTATGTCGGAAAATTGAGATAATGTAAATTTTTTTATCGTAAAATCAATTTTGAAGAAATATGTAAAAAGACATTTGCTTTCAATTATTGTAGTACGAAGAATAATTCAAAAATACATGACAATGTATAATTTATTTGATTTGTATTTTCACTTATGCAAGTAATGAGAATAAGCATTTGTATGAATGAAAATGTTAAAATTTAGTGTAAAATACACCGTGAACCACGTTGATTTTATTTTGTTGTTGTAGGGATAAATTTCTAGAGATTTTTATAAAACTTTAGATATAAATTCAATAACATCTAATAAATCTTCCTTCTACTATTTATATTGTCAATTAATATTTATTGAAGTATTGAAGAAAAAAAAACAAAACAAATTAAAGACCCAAAGAGTAAATACACGCCTCTAATGACTTAAAATTTTTTGCATACGTTTAATTTTATTCAAATTTAGAATAAATAATTTTTCTTAAAATATACACAATTTTATACAAAGACAATATATCTATTTTCTTCGAGCGATCATTTAAAGGTTACTATGAACATCGTTTATATAGTAAGTTGTTCATAAATTTAATTACAAATCTTTTTTTTTTTTGCTTTTTTTTTAACTTTCATTTTTTACGCATTTTTTACGTATAATAATGAAACTATTCGTCCGAGGCATTTTAAAGTCCATCCATTGTATTGAAAGCTAATGAATCGAAACGAAGTATGAAGTAAAAAAATGATTATTTTATTTTCGCCGGTTGTGTATCGGCATTAAAAAGATATTATCAGACATATTGTACGTATGAAAAATTTTCCCTTCATGAAAATAATTCTCCTCTCCTTTTACAACAACTTTATTAATTTAATTGAAGATGAAGATACAATTTATTAAGGATTGTACACTTTTCATCCAGCAAAATTTAGTCAATATACTTGGATAAATTCGAAATGTAACTGAAATACTTGGATAAATCCTTGATCCAATGCTGCACATACGGAAAGAAGGCTTAACCATTCCCACTAAAAGTCACTCTCTCTCTCTCTCTCTCTCTGTCTGTCTGTCTCTCTCTCTCTCTGTCTCTCTCTCTCTCTCTGTCTCTCTATTTCTTAAAGAACGCGTGCCCTATGGTTGTCCCCACATAGAGTAAAAGAAACGGCATACACACTTTTAATCTTTTAGGCGTGCGTCAAGTCTATAACGGCACACACTGAGCTGAAGTAAAATAAAAGTTGCGAGTAACTGTACAAAATTCGATAAACGGCACGTCATAACGGGGCGCCGTTCTCGTATAAAAATCCACTGCCGCGAGGCTTGGCGGAGAAAAAATCCCTCTGCTGGGGTGCACCTGCGCCCTCGATGTTGGTCCTGTAATCGAAGACGACGTCGCCCACCTACTCACCCACCCATCCTCCTCCCTGTCCTATCGAAATCCAAGGGACTTTCTTACGACTCTGAGGCGCAAGCGCGATCAATGCATGAATGAGTCGTCGCGTGAAAGCCACACGCACACGAGGCGGAGAAAGAGGTGGTCGTGGAGGAAGAGGGGACGATACTCCTTCCCCAGAAGCGACCTTGGGCTCGGAACATCGACCGCTCTGTTTTTTCTCGACGCTTTCAAAATATTTTCGCGGAAGCTTCCTACACGCCTTCTACCACCCCTTTACCGCGGCCTTTCCTTGTGGGCCTTTTTTTTCAAACGCCCCACCTCGACTCCCGGCTATTTCGCTGCCTTTTATCCAACTGATGCGTCGACATTATCCTACCTACCCTCCCGCCCCACCTCCTACTCATCACTATTTCCATTCGCATCCCCGTCTCCAGTTATCCTTGCACAACCAATTTCGTCGTTTATCTTATTATATTTATAGCGACTATCGTATGGTACAGACGATTCGAGGGCCAGACAGAACGAGAAACAAACGGCATTGTCGTCCGCGTTGCAAAATTAGCTATCTTCCTTGCACTATCGCTATCTCACTACTCTACACGTGATGCTACCAAGAACGTAAAATTATAGCAATTTGGTTTAAATTTGCGACTTTTCGCGAGAGCTCTTCGTAAAACTGCACATATGATGATTTCGTTAGAGGTAAATATGCCGTTCGAACGGGCAACGACGACGGTGGCGGTGGCGGTGGTGATGGTGATGGTGATGGTGATGGTGATGGTGATGGTGGTGGTGGTTGGTGGCCATGGTAGCGGTGGCGGTGGCGATAAGGGGTGAAGGGCGGGAGGAGAGGTGTGGAAGGAAGATGAGATACGGATACCAGAAATTAATAAATATCGCAGGTGTGACGTATCAAGGAAAATGGTATAATTGTAAACAATTTATCTCTCGCTTGGCATGAGCATTAGTTTTCCATGTTCGCTCGATTTTCCAACCAAAATTATCCATTTTGATAAAACTAGACTCTATTCCTATTGGGTTGTACGTCGCCTAACGAAAAAGTTTGTTTTTGTTCAACAGCTTCGGCGACAACCTTATCTTAGCGATATAAATAAGCGGGCCCCGTGGCGATTTCATCTTGGTGATAATTAGCGAAATAACCCCGCACGGTCGAGCCTCGAGCGGAGAACCGCGCGGCTAAACCGGACGAACGCTTAATGCCAAATGCTAGTCCTCCTCCTCCCTCTCCGGCGATCGAGCGCCCAGCCCGCACCACAGCCCGCGCTACCCTTTTCCGGCCCCGGGGTTTTCCCCTTTCCAGAAGGAGCACCAGATGGAGAAAGAGGAGAAGGCCCGCGTCAATTTAAATGACTCCGTCGGCGCAGTTGGCATCGAGGCCGGCTGGCGTCGGCCACCGGGACACTCACCGACGGCGTACTTGGTCGTCCTCGTGGTCGTCCACATCGCTGACCGGCTACATGGCCCGTGGGGCCGCTTACCAGGTGCCGTGCACTCGCGATTCCCGCGCGGCTAAACACACGGCAAACTACCTCAGCTCGTACTAGAGGAGGAGCTCCGGCCACCAGACTCGGGCCACCGGAGACTTACTAGCAGCCGAGAAATACGTAGGTCGCCGCGCCGCGCGTGTACGCCTCTCCGCCTCTGCCCCGCGCATCATGGCCACGGCGGCTACGGCTACGGCTACAGCTACGGCGGCAACAGCGGCGGCTGCGGCGGTGGCGGCGGTGGCGGCAGTGGCAGCGGCGACGGCAGCAGTGACGGTAACAGCAGCGGTGGCAACGTCGCCGAACTCCGCAGGCCCATTCTACAGTGATAAGGATTGTTTCGTCTGTATCTGGTTGGCCCTGCCATTGGCGGGAGCCGCCTTGGACGATTCACGCTTTCTTGCCGTCGGCTTTCGACCTTTGTATTCCGATCGCACGAGCGGCTTCCGATTGTATTCAAATGCTGCCCCTATTGACAACGCTCTTACCTTCGATTTTTCCAACACTTTTGGACTTTTGTAACGATTTGCCCTGACACCGGACCGGCTCATCTTCTCCATTCGATCAGCTTTCTATAACGATACCTTGGCGTTGCTATAGGTTCGGGCCGAGCAACGACACTCGTCAACGTTCGTTTAGCGATTCTCGCCATTGCATATACATATACATTATGCTATTAATTTCCGAATTAATCTTGACGATCGCCTTTACCTTTACAAATCACGTTACCAATTTTTAAAGCTCTAGGCATTGAAGTACAAAAGAACAATTGTTGCATTATGCGCCTGCACAATTGATAAATGTTATTTTATACACTTGTTCATAAATAGTTACTTAACAAAATAGTCAGTTTCAAAATACATGTTAATTTCAAAATTAAACTCATGAAAATTTTAATAATAATGTGTATCAATGTACATAAAGCAACTGTAAGTCTCACAAATATTATTATTATTATTACAATCGCAGTTCTTGTTATTGTTTTTATTATTATTACTATTATAACATCGTTATTTTTGTATTATAGAAATAAACTCAAATCTATATATAAATTATACTCTATACATATATAAATATAACTTCTTATTCAAAAAAAATTTTAGTCAAAATAAAAATATATCCAGTTCTAGAAATGTTTTTAAAGATTTTTAGCATTGTTTATTAATTCAATACATTTATGAATTATTTGAAAAGTTTTTAGTCCACGAGAACAGTATGAGTGTTTAGCGATTTTTTTCAATTGCAATTTTTATTATACATATGCCGGTAAGAAAAATATGTTTGGCAAATGCTTAATATTTGCATAAACATGTTTGGATTACTCACTTAAATTTTGTTTCAATAGCGACACATTAGTCGTGCGATAGGAATACAATAAATAGAATCATTACACGTACTAAATGTTTTTAAAATTTACACTATAACGTACGATAAATGTTAAAAATAATATTAATTTCAACGATGTTTCTCAAAACAATACGTATAATTTCAATTTTTTCTTTATCCTTACTAATTATTTAATTTAATTTTAATAGCCTATGTACTAGGTCTTTTACAGTATTTTGAAATTAATTATTGTTATTAAGCTTATTCGATTAAAAATACTTGGAATATTGTAAATGTTACAATTGTAAATGTTCATCAAATATATTATCATCTAAACTTTCCGTAAGTCCAAAATATTCCTCGTACTAATATAAAAAGAGCCTAAGATTATTCTAATATCGGTAATTGAATGCTGCACAATCCGTGCAATATTTTTCAAAAATAAGACAGTAAAATCATTATTACCTACGTTTTTCTTATTTACACGTGGAAGACGTTAATTGCAAAAACTTGAAAGCTAACATTATTTCAAATTTTTCATCTCTGCCTTCATAATTAAAATTATTTATCTTTTTTATGCAATTTAATTGCTTAATTTACTTTAAATCAAATCAATTCTTTATTTCGATATTTTTAATAGAATAAAAAGCAAAAAAATTAAATAAAAAATTAAACATTACACGCACATATTAAGATCGGTTTATTCAGCTTTATGAAAAATCCAAATTATATACTATTTATAAAATTAATATCAAACTTTAAAAATTTTTAAATTTAATATTTTAGAAGTATCAATTATACGCTAATAGTAAGGATACCTATTGACTTCAAAGTTATAAATTTTAAAATCAAAAATTAAAAAAAATGCTTACGTTTTAAACACAGTGTACTGTTATTTATACATTTTCCGATTCATGTTCTAATTGATAAAATGTAGATCAACTGTTTATAAAAGTATTTATAAAATGGCAATTATTGATGAAAAAAATTCAAGTATCATCTTAAGATTATACTAAAGATCTAAAGATTGATAATTATCTGTATTATGTGGTGGAGATGATGTGTTTTAAAATAAATAAATAATTTCGAATGTATGATTAATATTACAATTAATGCATAACTGAAAGCGAGTTAAATATTATTATGAAATATTAGATAAAAAATTTTTACAACTTGAAAATTTAATGAAGCATCATTATATTGAAAAATATGGGATATCAACAGTTAATTGCACAAATTGAAAAAGTATCTTATTAGAATTTTTAATAATCAAATACGAAATTCATTTAAATTTGCTAATTAGCAATTTCGATATTTTTTTTACCTTTTATATAAAATATATACTAAATTAAATAATGCATTACATATTTAGTATTTATATTATATTTAATATATCACTCTAGCAAAATAAATAATTCCAATTAATCGTTTTCTATAACATTTAACTTGAATAATTTTTTTATTTTTTTATCATTTACAGTATTTAATCAAATTCAATACTGACGTAAATAAAGTGTTTGTAATAAATAACTATGCATAATCAATTGCGATTCTTTAAACAACTTATTTTCATTTCTTTTTTATGTAGAACTTTGAATGAATTTAAATTATATTTTTCCACAACTATAGTTACATAACATTAAATTTGATTTCATCGGATTTAAAAATGAAACAACATTAATGACATAAAATAATGTAAAAGTTAAGAGCAAGTCAATTCTACATTTGATTTATATTTTTCTAAAAGTAATAGTTATATCTTAGATATAATAGAGAAAATATTCTTTTCTTTTTGTCGTTCCATACATCTTAGAAATGTTATGGGAACCAATTTATTCTTATAAATATTTTCATAAATATAAGGCTTATAAATCAATCATAAACCTATTCGAAAAGAAACATTTGTTCCTCATTAAAATTAGCAATTTGAATATCGTATTTACAACATTTATATTAAGTATTTCTAGTTGTCTCTTTTGTAATTCGGCAATAATTATCGGAAGTAGCGTTGACCAATGAATATTAACGCCAACTTCACAGTATTATCATCATATATCGCCCGATATCGTGTCTTAATGCCAATTAGATTTAGAAATGTGCAATATTTAATATTGCAGATTATATTACTTTACAGAACTTCCTAGAAGTTTATTGGCTTTCCACAGTATGCTGATAAATGAGCTTCTCTTAGAGCTTCCGCACAGGTCTGAAATAATTACATAATAATTATATAATACGTTTCTTTTTTATTAACTCTAAATTGATTTATAAAAATTTGTTTACATAATAATACGTTTTAAATGATAAAGCTATATGAATTTTAATATTTAAATGTTTTTAATAATAATAAAGTTATGTTAAAATTTGAAATTCACAAAATTGAATTACACATTAATTATATATTACTAGATTAATAATTAATAAAAATATTATTATTATTTTTAAATATTTTACTATCCTTGTATTGTATTATTATTAAATTATAATAAAATAATAACTATGAATTAATATCTTAGTATCTTTCTACAGATCTAAGAAACAGTTTCTTATTGATGAAATATTACAAAATTAGAGTAGTTAATAATGCTGTGATTTAAACAAAATAGCCAAACTACATGTTGATTTAAGAGTACTTAAATTCAAAAGAAACTTAGATTTAAAAGAAAAGGATCTAAGTTTAAGAAACAATGTGAAGTATCCAAAAGACTTGTAAAAAATTATAAGCAATCATAAATTAAGTTATAAATTTTCTAATAGAAATAAAATGAAAATATTTCTATAAAAATATTATTTTTGTTACACTCTCGTAAATAAAAAATATCTATAAATATATATATACACACACACACACAAAGTTAGTCTTTTATAAACATATACCTTGTAGTTAAAAAAAAAACAAAGAAATAAAGCATAACATTTGTGTTTATTAATCACAACTTACCGGATGAGCATGGCAAACTCTAGCCACATCTTCAGCACTTGCACCATATTCCATAGCAAGAACAGCTTCATTAATGAGTTCACCGACACATGGTCCAATCATATGTACACCCAAAATTTTGTCAGTATTTTTATCTGCTAGAACCTTTACAAATCCATCAACTTCAAGGTTAGTTTTTGCTCTTGAGTTGGCCATGAATGGAAATTTACCCACTTTAAAGTCAATCCCTTCTTGTTTAAGATCTTCCTCTGATTTGCCAACCCAACTTACTTCAGGATGTGTATAAATAACACTTGGCACACAATTGTAGTCTATATGTACAGCACCTACATGACAGGGGAAATATTTTTAATAAATAACTTTAATCAATTTCATTATTACTCTATTTACAATATTCTTTGTTGAAATTTATATTTAAGAGAATAATATCAAGTAATATTATTATAACAGTGTAATTAAAATTTTTATATATAATTTATGAAACTAATTGTTGTAATATAAGTTACGAGTAGAAAAAGCAAATTAAATTGAGAACATTTAATTGAGCTACTATTTTTCTTAATGTGAAAAACATTTGGCAACATGAAGTATTGGAATTATAAATAGTTACCTCCAGCAATGCCTTCAACGGTAATGATACCTTCATCTTCCGCTTTATGTGCCAGCATAGGTCCGTGAATACAATCACCAATAGCAAAGATACTGTTACAATTAAAATGCCTCGTTTTATTTAATGGATAACGAAGGTAAATTAAAAAATTAAATCATTAATTCAAAACGTACTTCGGAATTACAGTTTGGAATCTACTATTGACAGGTATTCTTCCTTTCTCGTCTCTTTCAATTCCAATTTCTTCTAAACCAAGGTTTTCAGTGTAAGGCCTTCTTCCAATACAAAGCAAAAGAACATCACAGGTCATGCTTTCTTTTTTGTTTGAATCTTTTGCATCTTCAAGGGATACCTCGATCTGATTATTTTGTTTAGAAGCTGCAGTTACTTTTGTTCCCAATTTGAATTTAAATCCTTGCTTAGTGAGAATTTTTTGTAATGTTTTACGGACTTCCCCATCCATTCCTACTCCACCAATTGTAGGCATGAATTCAATCGCAGTAACTTCAGATCCCAACCTATAAATTATATTATAAAATTAATTGAAAATACTTAATGCAATTTATTATATTATTAATTTATTAATTATATTAATTGTAATTATCACTTATAACTTATGAACTTATTACAATTATTAAAAAGACATAATAATATTTCTGAACATATATATATTAATGTAAAAACTGATATATTGTTAATATTATATTATTATACAGATGAATTATATATCTTAACTTTATTTTCATACAGTAGTTAAAATATAAAAATATAAAATTAACATTAACTTAATACCTTTGCCAAACTGATCCTAATTCTAAACCAATAACACCAGCGCCAATGACAATTAAACTTTTAGGAACAGTTTCTAACGATAAAGCACCAGTAGAGGTAACAATTTCTTTTTCATCAACTTCGAATCCTTGAAAAGGTGTGACTTCACTGCCTGTTGCAATAAGAATATTCTTAGCATTAACTGTAGCTACGGTTGAACCATCCGGTCCAAGAGCTGTTACTTGATTATTTCCAGTGATTTTTCCATGTCCTTTAATCAATTCAATTTTATTTTTTTTAAATAATCCTGCTATTCCTCCAGTCAAAGCCTTCACTACATTGGTCTTCTGTTCCATCAACTTAGGTAAATTTAGTTGAATTCCCGAAACTGTAAATAAATTATTTTTCTTTAATTGAAATTCATGCAGCATGAAATAATTGACAATATTTATATTTTAAAACTTAATAAATTGTAATTGTAAAAACGTAATTGCATAAATTTGCTTAACTTCATTTAATACAATTTTGAAGATATTTTGTTAAGATATATAAATTTACCATCGATTCCTCTCTCTTTTAAATCTCCACTATGTGCCATATGATAATAATATGAGTTATTGAGCAATGACTTTGAAGGAATGCATCCTACGTTTAAACAAGTTCCACCAAGTGTTGGATCTTTTTCTATGCATACTGTTTTCATTCCTAATTGTGCAGCTTTAATAGCAGCAACATAACCACCAGGACCAGAACCAATGACAACAATATCGGCATCTAAATTACTCGCATATCTTCGCTGTTGAATTACCGTTAATGCAGGATTTATCACTCGTTTTATACATGATGGCTGCAAAAAAAAAAAATATATAAATATATATATATTTAATGTGAATCTATATATATACATTAAATTCTAAATAATATTATTAATATCTACATTACAAAATTACTAAAAAGCGATAAACAAATAGAATCAAATATACAGACAAATTTAAATAATAATGTTAAATTATTTATTCATATCACTGAAATACACCTTTGGTACCCATAACTTATAAACTTGAATTTTATATAGAATAAAGTAAAAATTGAAAGTCAAAAGCATTTGATAATCACAATACATTTAAACTTGGAGCATAAAAGATATCCATTCATTGGAGAAATAACTATACCAATAATAATCAAAACATGTAAGCAATCGTATATTTTAAATTGCAAATTTATCAACCTTGAATTAACGACTTTCAACAAGTACTTTCAACAATTAGACCGATAAATGTCGTACTATCATTTGGTAACAATCGTTATATCATTAATATAAAAAATGATTAAACCAAAATGTCCGCAACATTATATCAATAAGACATTTATTTTTACATTCTGTGAAGCGTTCTTCTCTCTCATTTAAATATCTACTTTAAACTACAGTTCCACCTTCATTATGATGCATTTAATCGAAATTTGTATTATTAGACATTCGAAAATTCAAAATGATAATTCACGGGCAATTCTCATCATTTGTTTAATGCGCTAACCCGTAGCTGTAAGCCGAGCAAGCGAGAGGGAAAATATGATACGAGTCAGAACGTTTCGCGAGCAGAAGGCTGTGTGCTAAAAAAAAAATGTGACATAATAAATGCCACGACTATTGCGAGAGCTTAAGTTATGAAGCCGTGGACGTTAGCTCGAATAGTCGGGATCTTATCTCGTTTACTCGATAATATTGCGACACAAGCGAGCACAAAACCGGAGCTCGCGTTCTAATAAATCCGGATAACACCTCATGGTCACGGCTCTGCCCTTCAAAGTCACCATAAGACAATTGCGTGGGACAATACCCGATCTCATGGTTCCCGGCACTTGACACTCCTTTTATCTACGGGGCACTTTAATTTACCTTCACGGTCGTAGCCATTAAGCTGCAGATGTTGGTCTGCATTCTGGATCGTACGAGGCGTCTGACTATTTTGGCAATGAACGTCCTCGATGAAATGAAGGGGTTAAGAATGGGACGAACGAACGAGCGGTAATACAAAAGTACGAATACTACAGACTACCTGAACTTATCGTAGATAGCTGAATCTTGTGATTCTCCCAACTGCTGTTGCCTCGAATTATCGAAATCAATATTGCCCGCATTGAAACCTGACTTCGGCCCAATGAATTTAAGGCGGTTGATTCGAAAAGCGATCAGGTAATTTATTGTAAGGTTAATCCTGCACTCGTAATTTATTCTTTTCAATTTAATTGAGAATAGTTATAATTTTCATTGTCCACGAGACTCCGTTACTATATTCCATTTACTTATATTTTTTACTTATAAAAGTGTGCGGATATAAAGAGATGATAATGTACGGTTAATATATATACATAATATAATAACAATTTAAAAAGGTACTAGAGAATAATATGAATATATATATATATATATATATATATATATATATATATATATATACATATACATACAAGCACATACAGCTATTATATAGATAACATGTACACACATACATTTAACATCCAATTAATAAATTCTTTTTATTATCAAAATTTCTTTAATATTATTCAAAGTCTACCTAATTTTCTTTATATTATTAAATTTATCATAATAGACGATACACACGTACTGTTAAATAATAAAATCGAATAACATAACGCTCGTAATTGCTTTTTCATGGAATGTTGTATGCAAAGTCTTATCTTTATATTTTGCGTTAAACTATTTAGTTTTTTATAATGATATCTCACATAAATATTATTTTAATCGTTACGAAATAAATTCTAAAATAGATTCAAAATCAAACACTTTAAAAACTGTTTTAATTTGAAAATAGCTGAAAAAACTGTGGAATTATATAATATAATTAAAATAGTATTGTATATTAAGTAAATTAAGACGAGATATATATCTTCATAAATATTAATAATATATTATTTGTATACAAAAAAAAATACTATATATTTAAAGTTTTATAAAATTTTAATTAGAAATTTTTCATTTATTTTTTTTAACTGAATACCTAAACACAAATACGAAGTTAAGTTAGATTTTTTGTATATCTTTTAAAGATATATCTACCAATTATAGTTAATAACAATAAACAGAACAAATTAATTTTCAATAGATAGGCTTTACAATATAATTTGTAAAAGTAGTTTCTAAAACAGTAAGAGAAATATCAGTGTAATAATTAAAAATTATAAGAATTTAAATACAAAACACATAGAACTTTAATTATTCAATCACTCAATTTATAATTCCATTAAGGGAAATTACTATTTATTACGAGCAATTTTAATTAAAAATTAAAAAAAAAATACACATAACAAACAGTCACTTTAATAATTTTTAGTGAAAAGGACCAAAAACTTCATAAAATATGAAATCACTAACAATATAGGAAAAAATATTTACTATTTATTTGTAATTCTCTATATTTCATTCTACATTGGTTTATATTCCAACTGCTTATTGAAATATTACATACATTTTTTTAGAACTATTTCTTATAAATAATTAATCGACCAGTTTCTATTACCAACATAGAGTCTATAATAATTAATTATGTATGAATGCGTGTACTATATAAAAAATAATTATAATAAGTGTAAACATTATATTATTAACGATGCAAAATTTTATGACTTGGAACGCAATATATTTCTTGACAGAAATATATCATATTAAATTAAATGTTTATTTATTTATTATTTAGAATGCATTTTGTATTTATATTCGTTTAATATTTTTAATAATAATAGTGTTTGTAATAATAATAGTAATAAAATTATTACTATTATTATAATAATGAACAACAAATTATTCTATACAATCTTCATTAAATATAATAGGCAAACTTTTGAATTTGAAAATAGCTTCAAATGTATTTTCACATATTTTTCAACAGAATATTCTGTAAATTGTTTCAGTTGCATTAATTAAATGTATCAAGTTTCCAATGAACCACACTAATAATTTCACTCGAGTCTTAATATTTTTTACTTATGTAAAAAAGTTCACTGTATAATAAATTTATTAAAAATTTGATTAATAAAATGATAAGATCATAACATACGATAAGAGACAATAAGACTTTTTTAGGATTATACAGGTATCGTAGACATTTGGGCTAAATCGAAAATATAACTTGGAATGTAGTTTATTTATTTATATATTTATTTATTATATGTTTATGTGGATTGTGTATAAATTAATTTAAACATTAAGTATAGAAGCCTACAATTTGTTTAGCTATATATGAACCTATGAACCTTTTAGTATAATAATTTTATTCAATAATTGCAAAAGATTAAGAATGTTCTTATTATTTTTAATTTAATGTTCGGTTCTTGAAATTTAAAATTTAAATAAAATGACAATATCAAAAACTATATATATAATTATTCGAATATTTGAATAATTTATACAAAAAGATATATATATATATATATATATATATATGTGTGTGTGTGTGTACTTATAAGTAAATATAAACGAAGTAATTTTAAATGAAACGATTTAGTACTTAAAACAACTATACATAGATTATTTTCTTTTGATCTTCCCAAGATGTATTTTCAAATACTTAAAAAATAATAAGACTTTCAGATTATTAGAAAGTCGATAAGACTACTTGTGAAAGAGTGAAAAAGCGTATAACCGAAAGAATATTTTTGTTTGGTATTATTTTTATATCATTTACATCCGTGCTTTCACCGTCAATGAAAGAGTTATACATTTCGCTCGAGAGAAATGTAAATTAGATTTTGTAAGTAAATTTACAATAGACTAATGTTCCTATCAGTAGTTTGCATCCTAATGTAATTTCCCTTATTATTAAAAATTTCATAGACTATGATTACATGACCAAAGGTTATCCTTTACAGTATGATAATTATCGCTTTATAAAGGTTGAAAAAAGTCGAGTTCGACATTTCCTCAGGCGTTAGAACTTAAGTGAGATGTCAAGGCTGTGCGCACTACGTTCTCGCGCATATGCAGAGGCGTCTGGCAGTCATCGACCTCCATCCCCTAGATCTCATCTCGGGAACAATCGTCGCGTTCTTTCGTCTCGCAGCTTCCCCAACGCTGCGCGCATATACTGCCGATCGATTACCAGCCAAGGACACCAATTTGGCGACGCGGTTCGTCTTCTATCCGCACATTTAACGAAGGAGTTGTTGTGCCAGGTGCTACGCGTACCGGGAGCACAGAGAAATAAATACGAATCTAGTGCATTTGTGTTTGGGATGTTGGAACGGGAGGATGCGCGGGGACTGTGCGAGCTTTCCATCGTTATTCTTTTTGCAGATATGCAAAGGGGACGGCGCTTTTCTAACAGGATTTCTGCCAGATGAATTTATTTTCGTCTATTTCTAATTGACTAATAATATGTCGTTTAAAAAAAGGATGCATCTTTTGTTAAATTAATCAGCCCACCATTGTATATGCATGTCGATGTTTATGCTTCCTACGAAATTCTTTAGTAAAATCCAATGTTTGATGTTTTTCTGTATTTCTTGAATCAAAGAGCCCTTATTATATTTCAGACACTTTATTATTCAATTTATTTATTATCGTCTATATAATATATATATATAATTAAAAATTGAATCGAAGTTTCTATTTGATTAATCGCGTTTATTAATTATACTACATGATTTTATCGAATAACTCTATTATAATAACTCAGCTATAAAATATAGCAAATTTCAATACTTGAGTAAGCGAAATTTTAATATTCTTAGCAGCAACAGTTTTGCAATCCAGAATAACTATGTACAACTAAATACTGGTTTTTATAATGTACGTTGCACATATATAATACGATTTTCGAAATGTATCAGATAATATATTACAATTTTTTCTAAAATCATAATTTAAAATACTAGATTTTCTGTTCACACGATTCAATTTTAGTTTTTCTATAAAACTATTATAATTATATCGTTATCCATGCACGTTGATGAAATATATTAAAAATTTATGTATTCATAATGTAATATGAAAATAACACATTTCATAAAGTTTTATATTCCAATAAAAGATAGATTATTAATAAAACTTAACAAAGTTTAATAAGTCAACGCTTTAATAATCCATAATGAATGAAGATAATTTTGTGATAAACGTATTTATAAAATACATTATTTTTCTATTATTTGAAGTGAAATGCAATAAAAATATTATTAGGATTTGATTTTAACTATTAGTTCAATGTTTTTGTGATTCAGTTTCTTTACATGTATCAAATATATATATATATATATATATATATATATATATATATCAAAATATTTAAGACTTTTAAAAACAAAAACAAATTTATTTTATTGTTTTATATTTTTATATTTTGATAAAAGATATTTATATATAAATAATATGAAAAAATATATTATATTCTAAAATTTCATGTGTTATCTTGATTGTTCTACACATATATAAACAAAAATTTCATATAGTTTTCAAATGTTTATGCTTACATAATTTTTATTTAAATATCGAAAATGCTAAAAATTATAGCCTAGTGGAAAGAAATTTTCGTATGTATAAATAAACAATCAATCAGATTCTGAAAGAATCCTAAGAATATTCGCATAAATTATAAGAAATAAATAATGTAAAACAAGATTATAAAATAGACTAATTTTATCATTAACGTAATAGTGTATAAATTAATAGCATTGCTAATATCTATAAATTGAAATATTAAATTGAAATATTTTCTTTAAATATAATTGAAAATAAACTAATAAATATGATTTTATCGAGTCATTAAATTTTTCATGACAACTGTGTAAATCTAAATAATTACAACTCTAAAAAATATGCACCTTTATCATTGAAAACACGTGGTTCTTGCAGCATGAAATAAACGGAGTATTGCTTAAATTAACGGAAATAAGCCGTGAATTCTTTAAACGGGACGTGTTTACCCTCTACTCCCCTTTATCCTTACTCATACGAAAGCAATGCATGTTCATGCTACAGTTACAAAAATACAACTGCAATCACTTAACTATAACCCATGTAACCGTTGCTTGCAAAGTGATCAA